TTGTTATGGGAGTCCACGGGCAACATGATCCTGTTAGTACACCTCCCAGAGAATGCAACACACCTCTACCACCATTGGGAGAGCGCTGTCCCACACATATCTCTCACTAAGTCCCATGACATCTCATGGAAAGATTTAGGCCCAATGGACAAATCCTGGAGCAAAACAGCCCAGGAACAACTGAACTCTATGGGAGTAACCAAAAAAGTTATCAATTGCTGTACAGCCGGGTATCCTAGATATCACACAAAAGTCTGTGAAGACTTACCTGCCATAGAACATGACTCTGAAACCCGTCATGATTGCTTTGAACAAATTAAAATGGAAACCACCCATCTGCCAACTGTGTACGAAGCTGCACTACTCAACCCAGACCAAACACTATTTGTGGATGGCTCCAGATATGCTGATGAACAGGGGCAGTATCACACTGGGTATGCAGTTACTACAGGAAGCCAGATACTACAAGCAGCCGCCCTTCAGCCAACTAAGTCAGCTCAAGAAGCTGAGCTAACAGCCCTCACAGTGGCCTGCAAGCTGTTCGAAGGCCTCCGTGTCAATATTTATACAGACTCAAGATGGGAGTGGCACACGACTTTGGCCTAATTTGGAAAACAAGAGGATTCCTCACAGCCACTGGCACTCCGGTGAAGCATGGGGCAGCCATTGAAGAACTGATGGACGCTTTGGTGCTTCCCGCAGAAGTGGCAGTGTTAAAAGTAAAAGCCCATGGAAGGCTAGACTCAGAGGAAGCACGAGGCAACCACTTAGCTGATCAAGCTGCTAAAGAAGCAGCACGACAAGGGTGGGAAGTGGACAGAAGAGTGGCTACTGAGACAGTACCTATCTACACTATGCATACATTACCTACAGATCTCAGACTTTTAAAAGAGCAACAAGCAGCTGCCACTCCCCAGGAAAAACAAATTTGGAAAAACAAAGGAGCTGTTCTCCAGGATGATGTTTACACCATTGTTACAAACTGCTATTTGTAACTGGCCCTTTAAATGGCAAATTGCCCTGCTTCCCTGGGTTGTGGTGAAGCCTATTTGCCAGCCTCCTCCCGCATGACTATGGCCCCTGGGAGATTGTGAAAATGTATGCACTTTTATTTGGTGTGTATGGCCCTTTAAGACTGTCGGTGGGCATATTGGGGCTTATGGACTCTTTATGTGACTGGTGCTGGCCCTTTAAGCACCTTTTTTGGGACATCAGGAAGATTGGGACACTGCCCCTTTAAGACCGTGTCCCCAGACTTCTTGGGGACACTGCCCCTTTAAGACGGTGTCCCCTGTGTCCCCAGACCTGGTGCAAACCCTTTGTGCCTGGCTATTTCCCACTTGGTTCAGTAATAGAGAAAATTTATTGATACTTACCGTAATTTTCTTTTCATGGCTATTATTCATGGCAGCATTTAACATATGGGTTTAGCTCCTCCCTCCAACCCTCAGGACAGGAAACACAATCAATTAAACAATTAAGCCTACCTTCCCCTAGTATATTAGGTACCCCAGTATCCCCCACACCTCAGTCCAGTAACAAGACAAATAAACCAAGAGAGGGTGGGAGACCAAATGCTGCCATAAATAATAGCCAGGAAAAGAAAATTACGGTAAGTATCAATAAATTTTCTCTATTCCTGGCTAATCATGGCAGCATTTAACATATGGGATTACCAAAGCAATAACCACTCAGGGAGGGTAATTCATGCTACAAAAACTGTTTAATATCCACTTAAGGCTTATGAGAGTTCAGGACCGATAGGCCAAACTCTGAATCAGAACGAGATGAGATATCCACTCTGTAGTGGTATACAAAGGTTTTTAAAGATGACCAATTGGCAGCTTTACAGATGCTCTCTGCAGGAACTCCTGACTCTGCAGCCCATGAAGTAGCAATGGACCTTGTGGAATGTGCCTTGATGTCCTTGGGAACTGGAACCTGTTTAGCTCTGTAAGCTTTAGAAATAGCCTGAACCGTCCAAGAACGAAGGGTTGCGACAGAGGCAGCTTCACCTTTACGAGAACCCCAAGGTATCACAAACAATTGGGTAGACTTTCTCCAATCAGCTGAGCGTGAAATATATGTGGAAAGACACCTCCTTAGGTCTAGCGTATGACATCTTTCTTCCTCAGGAGACGATGGCTCCTGAAAATACCCTGGCAGGACAATCTCTTGATTCAGATGAAAGGATGTAACAACCTTAGGAAGGAACTCAGGTCTAGGCCGTAGCACAACTCTATCATCGAAGAAGGTAGTGAACGGTTCTTCAGGCGACAGTGCTCTAATATCTGACATTCTCCTAGCAGATACCAAGGCCAGTAACAACAGGGTCTTGAGAGAAAGAACCTGCATAGAGACCTCATCAATAGGTTCGAAGGGATGTTCTGTCAAGGCCTGCAGAACCAGAGGCAAATTCCAAGGAGCAGAGAATACCTTGATAGGAGGTCTGATCCTAATGACTGCTTTGAAGAAGCAAATTACAATAGGATTCAATGCCCAACGAACACCGGAAAGAGCTGAAAGAGCAGAGCAGTGCACTTTAAGCGTGTTAAGTTGAAGGCCCCTCTCCAGGCCTGCTTGCAGGAAACCCAAAACCTGAGACACGGAAGGAGAACCTAATTCTTGAACCGTGGAATTACACCATCGAGCAAAGGTTTCCCATACCTTATGGTAAGTAGAAGAAGTAGAAGGATTCCTGGAACGTAACAGGGTAGAGATAACCTGGTCCGAAAGTCCATGTTCAACTAGAGACTTCCTCTCAATAGCCATGCATGGAGCCTGAATTTGTGAGGCTCCGGATGAAACACTGGACCCTGGATCAGCAGGTCTTCTGAGACTGGAAGTTCCCAAGGCAGGTCCACTGATAACCTCTGTAACAGGGAACCTCTGAATACCCAATTGATGGATAGAGCATCCTGAGCAACCGCCTTTGGATGGTATCTCCTTGACACAAAGCATGGAACCTGCGCATTCCGAAAGGTCGCCATGAGGTCTACTTGGGGAAGACCCCACTTCTGGACCAACCGAGCGAAGATCCTCCTGGAAAGTTGCCATTCTGAAGCCTCTATCCGATGTCTGCTGAGGAAATCCGCTTTTACATTCTCCTTCCCTGGGAGATAGATGGCACACAGGCCTTCCACATGATTCTGAGCCCAGGTCATAATGGGAACTATCTCTCTCATCAGGGCTACACTCCTTGTTCCGCCTTGATGGTTTATGTAGGCAGCAGCCGCTTTGTTGTCCACTCTCAACTTGACCCAGCAATGCCTGATGAGATGCTGAAAATGAAGAAGCGCCAGAAAGGTTGCTCTTAGCTCCCTGATGTTGGAAGGCAAGCCTTGAGTTCTTGGAGGCCATTTTGCTTGAAAAAATTGATTGCCGAAATGTGCCCCCCAACCTGTTAGACTGGCATCTGTCGTAATGACCACCCAATCTATTTCCCGCAAGGGGAACCCTCTGGAGAGATTTTTCCACGACATCCACCAAAGAAGCTTCTGCTTCAGAACCAAAGGAATGCGAATCAGCGTCTTCCACTCCCTGGAGTCTGTCCTGAAATTTTTTAGAAAAAATTGTTGAAGAGGGCGAAGGTTCCACTGA